CGAAATCCCTGAGGGAGCGTAGGCGTGGCTGCGTACTTCAACTAAACGTGGCGGTGGCTGTGTTTTGGTGAGATATTTTCATTTTGACACAATTGTGTTCATGTCTCTGTTCAACAACGAACAAGATGACAGTTGCCTCATACTGAAATTTCCCACGAGCAACCCATTCTATGCCAAAAAAGTAAAAGCTTAAAGTCCAGAGAAAAGTAAAAGCTCAAAATCAAGAGGATTGAACGCATTCCAAAGTTGCTGCAAACGCTTTTTACAAAGAATCCCTTATTATTGTTTGTTCCTAAGTTCTGCTATCTGATCTCTCATCACTTCTCGACCAGCCAACTTTTTCTGTTTCCTTCTGAACGAACTATTTTAGAGGATGAAAACTGCTTCCGACTCAGAGAACCTTTTTTTGGAAGATGACAACTGCTCTCAACTAGAGCCGTTGGTGGTTAACATAGTATGACCGAGGCGGGTGCGCTCGCTTGCGCATAGTGAGAAGGGCAGAAAAGACATCAACCTAGGCGAGTCAGTAGTTAGGGCACACCGTCACGTTGCGCAGAATTTCCGCTGAATACGACCCTTTCGCCGTGCTTCTTGTCACCACCCATTCTCCACTTCTGAGCTTGCAACTTGCCTCTCCCATCAGATGTTCTTCACAGCAAGGACAGTCAATAAACTTTTTATCAATCAGTGAACAGAAAAAGGTCAAGAGAGTACTCTCAAAGTAGCGCCGCTGAAGCTGTTGGCGTACTTTCCATCTTCCATGAATAGTTGTACTTCATCGAGGACCTGCTGCCATTTCGTTGTGTCCCACCCTGCTAGCACTGCATTCGATATCTGAATTTCGATGAACAGACTCTTGGAAAATTTGGCAAAACATTGCTGTGAATTCCAAGGCTGAGTTATTGGAAGCTCTGGAAGGAGAGAGAAAGAACATTTTCAAATGTTTCGTCCACTTCAATGGAGCATAGATTAGAACAAGGTTCTGTCCTTTCACTGACTTTTTTAGAAGACTTAGTGTTCGATAATAACTCTGACAACTCTTACTTTGATACTTCCGCGATAAGTGAGAAATTTCTTAGGAACGAGCTCCGGCGGTTTGGTGGTGGTTGCATCAGAATTTACAGCACATTTACCAGACGAGCAAATGCCGGTTACTATATTATCAACCACAAAACAGTCGTATCCAGAAGCGCTCTTGTCTGTAACTGGTTCTTACATTCTTTGAATACGTTCGGGAAGGATATTTTTAACGGACTCGTTTGGGGGATAAGAAGAACACTGACCTGTGCATCGGTTGGCCCCGCAATTTATTGTCTAGCTTAATCGCCTTCAATAGTCTTCCATGGTTCTGGATGGAAGTAGAATGTGTGCCGCATTTCACAAAGGGATTGATGTACGGCGAAGATTTATAGAGACTACTGGCGAAAAAAAAGTAGAGGCCACGAAGATTTCACTCCAGAGGACCCTGACGGGGCTACACCACTTCCGATGGAATGGACACTTCGCATCAACAGTGGGCGTAAGTTTGCTTCTGTCTTTATCATTTGCCACCCAGCTTTTCCAAATTCAAACTGTACACTCACTTTCGTTGATTCTTCACCTCTTCATTCCTAGGCGCCAATTAGGCGCTGCCACTCCTTTCACCAAAATCGGTATAAACTTGCATACTAGCTAAATAAGCTGATTACAAATCGAGCTTTGTTAGAGGCATTTGGCGCAAGAATAGGGCCGGCTACAGTCTGGCGCCACCACCCTTTTCACCATTATTCAGATAAACCAGCATACTGGGATATTCGTGATGACGAATATTGCAACCATTTAGGCTCGAGTGGTAACGTAGGGCACTTTGGCCGTCTGGACTCTGCTGACGCTGAGATCGGAAAAGTCGGGCTCATTCCTTCCCCTGTGCACAGCCGTAGCGGAGTGGTACAAGGTGCTGGTGCTGAAAAATGAATGTAATGCTTGGGATTGTGTCTTCCACTGTTCCTGAGAAGCTGTGGCTATCTTGGTGGGAAGAGTTGTGGCGCCATGTCGAAACCAGCGTTATTCCGGTATAAACGCCACCGGTGCCAGAAAGTATGTTTGTTCTCAATACAGTCTGCATCAATGGCTCTAGTATGCAAATTTACATGAACTGAAGAGAAAGGGGGTGGCGCTAAAGCATCCCCTGGTGGCGCAATTGAGCCGGGACGGATGCCACATTCATAATTAGGGCACAATAGCCAACGTTTTAGCTGGAATTTTTTCTGAGATCTTGAGATAGGAATGTTGCTAAGGCAGCCTTCGTTTCTGAATTGGAGAATAACGAAGATCACTCACGCTTATATTCTTTAGCTGGAATCTGGATTCACGATAACGAAGCCGCATTCCATTGGCTCATATGAAGACTTAAGAGCAATCTGGCTGATAACAGTTTCCTGATCAGCAAGCGAGACCCCTTGAGCCGCTGCCCTTTGTCTGATAACTTTGTCCACCTGAAAGAGACGAATAATGTTTCATAACGAAGGAAAGAAAGGAAGAAGTTATAAATTAATCAGGGAAACTAGAGACCACCGGCGAAGAAGTCCGCGCCTTTGGAGTACGCGAGCAGTTCTGAGGTTACCGGATATGATGGTCTGTAGACGCCATCCAATCTTAAAGCTGGCTACAATACTGTCTGGTTCGATGCGAGCGATGGGGCGTCTCTGCGGGGCTGTGTTTGGCACGAGGCCAAATCAATTCTGCACCAGTTGTTTGGGAAAGTGAGTCCCAAAATCTGGCGAAAAACGAGCGATACGAATGATATGACACAGTTTGTGGCTTGCCGAAAGAGAAAATAAAGGAAAAAACTCGGTAGAAAAGGGCAGTTGGCCGAGTACACACCGGTGCAGATTACGCAGCCCAGACACAAGGCGTGGATACGAGTACCAGTTTGGAAGCTACCCAAGACGTTCCTCCGGCAGGAGCAGGCCCCCTTCCATCACCTTCATGTACACCAAAATATGAAGCCATCTCCAATCGCAGCCTGACTGGAGAAGGCCTATGGAATTCATGTCACCTCCAAACAGCTGCGAAACTTCTAGTATTTAAACCCATGGACAGCTACCTGATGATCAGCACCCTTGATCTGGAACCTCCAATATCGAAGCTCTCCGACAACGTCGCTATGGTCCAGGATATCATCTTCACCGCAGTCGCCAAGGCGCGGGTTGATGGTATGGACCGGAAGTTCCTGGAATGGGAAGACCGATATTTTCTTCGTGGACCCCGGACTGAAGGTGAATGCTGACGGTTACATCGAGAAACTCAAGAAGAATATCCTGATGTTACGTCGTCGCGTGTACCATCTTCGTACAGCTACAGCTGGGTGTCGGCACATAGGATCGAAGGGTACTGGAAAAATTCTCGCCTACTTGGAATGGAAGGGCGTTGAGTACCTGAAGAAGACGGAATATCTAAGTGTGTCACCTGACCTAAACCCCTCGATTACCGGGTCCGGGCGGAGCTCAACAGGGTGGTCTACAGTGGCGGAGAAATCAACGACCTCGCTGAACTCAGGCACCGAATCACGGTCGCGTGGCAGAATCTCGATGGCGCTCGTCCAGAAGGCTGTGGCGGAGTATCGTGATAGTGTACAATGTGTTGTTGAACGAGGTGCTGGAAATGACCAATCAAAATAAAGTGTAACTTATATCGCCTTGAAAGTCGAGGAAAAAAAGTCTTTCTTGTCCCACCCTGTATGTGCGATGTAAAGGAACCGTTCATGGTGCATAATTTGCTGTGGCCACGTGGCTCTTCTGACCGCTTCGATGGGAAACGTATTTCGATAAAGTTCACGTGATGAATTTACAAAAGCTCATAAAGATGGCAGTTCACATTTATGACCGCACGAAAAATCATGAGCAACGTACCAGGTTCTCCATGTGGTTCTTGATTTTTCTCTTTGCTTGCGCTATACTGTCCGACATCCGAGGAACTTGGATTTGCACAGCAGTATTTGTTGAGAAAGCCATTTCTACCGGCAATTTGAAATCTTTCATCACAAATTTGATCGTTTTTTCTGTAAAATGCACTTTATATTGAGTGAGATGTAAGAGCTTAATGAGCCTTCCGCAGAATTGCATGCATCCCTGCTCCACTTCGGTGATGTCGGTGCCTAATTTTCTCCCTTTGTAACTGGTTGGAATCTGTCTGTATACCACCATATCCCACCAATAACGTGACTACAGTTGAGAGCCTGAAGCCAGTTAGAAAGCGCCTTGCTGACGAGATCGAGCTACTCTAACGAGTATTATCAATTGTAAACTTTAACATAGAAACCGAACAAAACGTTCCAGTGCATTCTAGTTTCCCTACTGGAAAATGCAGTTTCAAAGTATCGGTCAGTAGAGTAATGTGTTCCAATCTCTGTGAGCGAAGAGAAGCTCTAGCCCAGCCTTCTAATCCGGAGAACTGTGTTGGAGCACTATGAAAAAATTACGAGTCGCACCTACATGGGATAAATTTATGAACTGGCCATTAGGTGTTTCAGGTGTATCGCGGTAGATTCAGGTGCCGCGGCTTCGGAGGACAGTCATAGGTTCTTTGAATTGCTCTAAGTCCATTGACGTCAATGCGGTAAACAGGACAAACTTTACTCCATAACCCGGAGGTAGGGGGGCGTGGTTGCGACAGAACATGGCGTAGGATGCGTTTTTCATTTTATTCTCCAACTTGGGATAGCTGCCATCCTGGACAAGTGTCTGAATGCACTTGTTCTAGAATCGCAAAATCCCACTACCAGGGGCGGTACCCGCCGCCGCCGAGTCATTGGGCCATCCCATTTAAGGTGGAGGGTTTTATTCGTATGAAGGAAGAGAAAACATAACAACGTAATATCTTGCCTAGAAGTTGAGTAGATCATTCCTCCATCAATGACCCGCTCTCAGTGCCCCAAAGCCTTTGGACCTCTGGTACCTTCGATTTTTCAACAAGTGCGAGTAAATTGCTGTTGATGCCAATTTTCAATTTTTTCAAAACACCGTAACGTCTGCCGTTAGACGGTACCTTCGATTGACCATAGAGGAGTAATCATACGACTGTATTTCAGGCGAATAAAGGCCTTGAATCCAGTTCCCAGTACTCTTTTTGTCAGAGCACAGCCTAGTAATGCCCTAACTCGGGGTGTGGCACTGTGTCGAGCAATTTCGCTGTCGCTTCTTGCACTTGTATGGCCCCACCCACATGTCAATCTGATTGTCGAGGAACAGGCAATATACAGCGACAGTGACAAATTTGTTCTCTGTATAGAGCCGCTTGAAAATCACAGTGTGGGAATCCTCCGCTATTATGACCATCTACTTGGGTGCAAGTAATGCCTAATGACACAACTCGGGCTGCTTCATCTGCCCTCATACAAAATTGACGCTTGTGAGTTTCGGTTTCGAGTACAAGACCACCATATTTCATCTAGGGCTACCGTGCGTTTTCACAGCCGTGAATGACGTCTTAGGCGATGGACATCGCTGATGCGGGCATAGAATGGGGGCTGCGTTCGTGCTTTCACAAGAGAAACAGATCCCAAACACGCATCGTCTTGGCTGTCATCAATTTCCGGACATATGTAACTCGGGCAACGGTTGCAGCAGGGGTGGCAGTTACGCGAGAAAGCTCGACAACGGTCAAGCCTCTTGATCAGACTTTCGGCTCTTGACTTCATCCACTCGCTTTTCTTGTGCGGGATGAATACCACGCGGCCCATGGCCACAGCTTTTTTCGCTCCTCCCTCTTTGGACTTCCGAACTAAATCTTCCATATTGTTAATCGACACACTCATGGTCCGAGGATTAAATCTCAGCGCGAATTTTACCAGACACTCATGCTGTCTTTCCTGGGGACCCACGTGAGTGGTTCCGGATTGATGTCAAAAAAGAAAACAATGAACTCTACGTCAGCGGACCACTAGTTACAGTATAGGTTTAACGTGCCCAAAGTTTGTTACTATTACGATTCTGGACTGACCGAGACTGCGTGAGCAGTTTTGATGCTTTGGTCTGTTTGCTTGTTAGTGCTACTACTGAAGAACCCCACCTTGTCCAGCAGCAACTTGTTGACACGCCATTGATGTCGAAACATTGAATAGAAGAATTGGCAGCAAGCGCACCGCAGCCAACCAAGCAGCAGTTGCAGTCAGCGAGTAAGTCATAGTCGTTCTGAACAGGAATCATTTCTTCCTTGTCGAAGTTATAGAAAGCGAACAACCTGTTACTCCAGGTATTAACAATAGGGCACCTCCTCGATTTCTTTGTAGTAAATTTTGGAAATCGAAGTTGATCCTGTGAGCTATTATGGAAGTTCAAAACTGAACTAGCTGTCCAGTCGTTTACAAGCTGTTAGGATAAACGTAAAATTAGGAGGACAGGAGCAATTGACCTGGGACGGTAGTAATGTGGCATAAACTGGCAGTTCACAGGTAACCATCAGCTCGCGGTAAGGACGACTGTCCAAAACGCCTATTCCAGAGACTTTATTAAGAAAGGTCGAGGTTGGGTGGTCGTTACCACGACCTGAGGTGAACATTGCTATCCTCCGTTGAACTGCGACGTTATGATGTCGCACTTGAGTTCTCAACCACGAGGGTGGAGACATTACGCGAAACGGAGAGACGCAGATAGTCGCCGTTCTGTGCAGTGAAAAGTCCTCCAGAGGACTTTTCAAAGATGGCCATCTCTGTGGTGCGAGTTGGGGGTTCTTCAACAGCTTTCCAAGTCCAGAAATGCTTAGATCACAGGCCTAGGTATAGCGGGGAGGACAAAAGTGGGTGGTAGGGTTGATGGCCCGAGGGAATGTAAATCGAGATGTGGGGAGGGCGTGGCCATCCATTGCACAGTTGAAGAGAAACTTTGAAAAAAGTGAAATATTTTCTAGTAAAACGGGTACAAGGGGTGATTAGAAAAAAATGCAAATATCATATAAAGATGTGCCATTAGAATATGAAATGATGTAGCCGATTACCCTAATCGACTAGGGGGATGGAGGTGAGAATAAAAAAATGAAAATTTGACTAACTAATTTGACTGAAAACATAACTGTTTGCCATGTTCAGTTCATTGCTTGTTACCAGGGACCGCCGCTAAGTCGGCATACTAATGATTAGCGTAGCGACAATTGTGCGCGCTACCACTCGCATGGTGATGAGATCGATACCGACCGCTGAGCGAAGTTTTGCAAATAGCCTAGCGAAGCTCGTTGTTTCCAGCGTGGTTGCCTCGCTCGTTGTTCTGCATAACTGCGAGCAACTCATCACATTTGATTGCGAGATTTAGACAAATTACTACCGTCCCTGACAACTCGGGAACGACCCTGCTCCCTTTCTACGTCATGAACAGGAGAATTAGAAGATGTTCAGTAAATTTCATGTGGTTCTCTTCTAGAATATTTAAAGCACCTCAAACAGCCGCAGGGTTCCTTACATGGAACATCGAACTCGTGCGACGGTAGGGGTCCCAGTGACTCAATAGATGCTGCTCTAGCAAGTAAAGTCAAGTAGCAAGTTAAGTTGGTAGAGTATTTTCTGAACAACTTCCCTAGAACAAGGAATACCTCGAGAAGTTTTCTGAATATGAAAATCACACCCACGCGACGCAAATGAGTCCTCCAACCACATGAAAGCTCATCCCAACATCGGCGAAAGTAAATCAGAGTGAAATCAAGTTTCAAATTCATGTGGCACGATACAATCCCAAAAGGTGTGCGATTAATACGCCCCAATAGAATTCTGAGCAAGTGCTACGTGGCGCCTTTTCCAATGAAGGTTAGCTTGTAGCGCCCCATGAAGCTGCAACATACCGACCCGGACGCCCACTCCCAAATGTCCGACCGAACAACAAGTACAACATTAAGCGAAGGGATTGACATGAAGCGGCTGCGTGCTACATGGGGATATGAATTCATACATGCAATCGTATCTTTCGTAGTTTTGGCACTATGCCGACGGGAAACTCGTGTAAGAATGCTCGTCCAGTGCCGCGTAGGCGGAATACTTTTTCACAGGTTCTGACCGCTTCACTTCGCTTTTTCGCCATTTTCACGCTATATGTATAGCATCCCTGCTACCATTTTAGACCGAGTAGCAATTTGTCGTGCTTTGTGCCTTTAATAGCAATATGGAAAAGGAAGTATTCACATAATTTAGCTGGTCCTTAATGGCACAGTGTGCGACGGAAAGTGAGCGCAATGTGGTTCGAATATGAAAGCGGACACATGATATCACCACAATCGGTCGGGTGGCAGTCAGTGGTCTCACCTACGGCGTTTCCACCAATGGTTGGACTCGAGGCAGACTTGTCCCACCCTCCTACCGCTGGCTTCGACTGACTGCCTTACTACGAACTATGCTCAATGACGCGGCTCTGGAGAGATGGAGAAAAACCTTATTTTAGATGCCTTGCAAAAATCCCCATAATTAGGGCCCTGTTCGAGCGCTCGGTTTATGACATGCACATATGGATGAGTTCCTGCTCGCTGGCGTCATGAAAATCTTTCTTTTTCCTATACCATCAATTCTCTAAATCGGAGCTTACGTCTCCCCATCCAGTTTGATCACGTCCATGAAATGATAGGCAAGGATAAAAAGAAAAACCTTACAAGGGTATAACATGGGCTAGCTGATGACGTCCGCTGAGACTACAGCGGTTAGTTATACAAGAATTCTGGAGAAGGCACAGAAGCAGTGTCTCACTTCTTCTCAACCCTATGAGAAGCAAGTTTGTACTGCATGAAGCAAGAGAAACTAGGAAGAGAAGCTCTTGATAGCCGACGGTCGTCAAGCTATTCGCTGAGTGTATAAGCTGCTGCTCACTTTTATAGAGGAAGTGAATCAGTTACTTTTATAAAGGTAGTGAATCAGCTTGTGAGCTAGACAAAATATCATATTAAGAATGAATAGCAGCCACAATTTTAATAACTAATTAAAACTCAATGTCATTTCGCGGCATGGTTGGGCGTCCTCTGTATATAAATGTCCGTTGTATATGAATGCAAGAGACAGCGCCACCTAGCAACCCTTGGTCTGAAAATTTTGAGCAGATAGCGAGCGCCAGGAAAAATTTGGTTCTTGGAGGGGTATGCCCTAATTGCTTACACTCTCACCTGATCATTAATGGTAAGAATTCTACGCCAGCATCACATCTGCATTTCACCCTTTCTCTGGCCCTTTCCAGTTTTTTTTTCTTTTACTCAATTAACACTGCTAGTACCTGCGGGGCTATCGTCAAGTTTTAACGGAGCTCATGCATTTGCATCACTTTGCAAGAATTTCCGGGCCCCTACAGGAGGCATCGACACTGATTGATGGAAATCAGCAAAGTGCCCTTACCAAGCCGAACTTCACCCAAAAAAAATAAGTGACCCACTCACGCTCGGAAAGCTGGTTGGAACAGATTGCCGATTTGTTTTTTATTAGGATCCAGAACCAACTTCTGAACCATTTATCTGGGGCCAAACCTCGAGCAGTACGCAAGCAGAAAAAAATAAAACCAATGAATAAAAATTTAATGGAAATAATGTATAGTGTAGGGTTGGCGGGAAAGTTCTTTCAAATTTTTTTAAGAAGAACCTTTTGTTATGAAGCGAGGAACAAGATCAAAATTGTAAAGCATTGTTGTTGCCGGGCTCTTGCCATTCTTCCAGCAGCTCTTGGATACCATCGTTTCACAATGCAGACAGGCGCGACGTTATGTTGGGCATCATCTCAATTTTGACGTTGGATTGGATCGTGGAGCTTCTCTCATCGATGTAGTGGGTAAGAGCTGATTACAATCTGCCGTCAGAAGGAGCGATGCCTGAACTACATCGGTGCAATGTGAGAGCCATCTAACTCTTTTGCAAGAGCTTTGGCTCGACCTCTTTTACAGTGGGTGGGCTTCACAGTCATGCCGAAGGCATACTCTGCGAATCGTACCAAGTGTTTTTGATCGAAAACAAAAGTTACTACAGCATAGAGAGATGTAGTGCTGAAAACTGGTCCCCGCAGCGGCCCTTACATGGTGGAGTGGGTACTGCGATGGGCTTCCGAATCGTGAGGTAGTTTGTGAGTCGGATCCGCTTGCCGACCATCTTTTGCACTTTTCAATTATTCGTCTCCTTGTGTTCCTGCGTGCGATGATGTATTAAGACGGAAATGTGCTATTCAAGAACTCATTCCATCTTATAATGTGCTACTTCTGCCTGTCTGTCCGGAAACCGATACCACCCGGATTGATAATGCGGGCAATTCATTATCAAAGATCATTCTCTGAGTGCAGCTGGATGCGTAATGCAGAAAAAAGAGAAGATTTGCTTTCTAAATATCATGCTACATCCGGTATTTTTTCTCTCGGTATTTTTTCCAGTGACGTCATTCAACACACCATTTCTTATAAGCAGATATTAATGTTCTTTGTTGTTGTCAACAGTTGGCTCGCCGGCTGACGCCGGTGCGCCAAATGGGCCTCTGTGACCCTACCCAGCTTACATGCCTTATTTCGTACAAAGTATACGCAACTTACATTCGGCTTCCTCTCATCTGTGCGCGTGATCAGCGCTGCTTTCCACCATTCCATAAACGGTCGTGGTATTGGAAGCAGCAGGTGTGTGCTATTGTCAATATAGCGCTGACCATGATCAGTGCACAGATGAAAGGAAAGCTGGGTATCAGCTGAGTTCATTATGTACGTAACAGACTCTACGACAGACATTGCATATCAGATCATTGTGTTATATGTCCTAACGGTAAAGCAGGAGATTGCGCTAAAGCTAGCGCTACCAAATTGAATGTCAGACATGCCTTCTAGTCTCCCAATTTATGTTGTTATGCAACATAAATTGGGAGACTAGAAGGCTACTGGGAACACTTACGAAAGAACGTCTTGCTGGTAAAAGACGTGTCTACTTAATAACACAGTAGGGAGGCATCTGATCAAAAAGCACTGCGCGGGCGATTCTGATGGGAAGCGCAGGATCCTATCGTAGGAGACGAAGATTTCAGCTAGCAAAGCGCTAGAGGCATCCTGGATTTCCGCAAAGAATCCTAGTATGAACAAGCGAAGTGAGTGCTTGGCTAACAGATGATCTCTTACCATTTTCACCACATTGCGAGCTACTGATGTAAGCGGTGAGACGTGCAAGTCCTGATAGCTACTATGTAAGGACGGCACAGTGTGTCCC